TCAAGATTATTTATTCAGAGGTAACATATTCCTGACCGGTTAGAAGAGAAGCTACGCACACTAAAAAGCGAGCATCTAGTATATAAAACCTCTCCATTACCAAATGATTAATGATAAGATGACAGATTGTATGGTGATGATGCGTCTGCCAAGACGTTTTCTGGGTTGATCAGTGGTCAAAAATTGTACCCGTTGTTTTCATTACGTGTCCTATTACGATGAACGATAAAAAAAGCAAAAACCTTAGTCAAAAGTGCCAATTGTTCGATTGTGGGGACATGAAATCGCAATCCGACAAATGATAAACACGAATAATCCCAGTTAAAATTAGTTTCAACTCTCAGTCAACTAAGTTTTCCAGTCAGCATCTATATATAATATATAACATATTCACTCATCAGCATTCCTTTTATATTTCAGCAGATCATGGCTGACCAAATCAAGACGTGGACAAAAGAGCTCGATCAGATTTCTGTTGATGTTAGCCAATCACTTTAACCTTACTCAACTGCTAATTAATTCCATTGTTTTAGGTAAAAAAGTTTCTCGGCAATGTCAAAGTCTGCGTGAAGGCAAACCCCTTGGAGGATGAGTTTATTCGAAAGGGGTAGTTTGCTTTGTGACTTCTTTGTGTATAAAACAAAATTTCCGACAGGAAGCAAGATTTAGAAGAGAAGATAAATGAGCTCAGTTCAATACTGAAAGAAAAGCTATCTGATAAAACCGCGGTGAACCCGAAAACCACAGGAGCCATTGAGAAGTTGTTGGAGAAATTTGAAATGCAAAAGGTCGGTGTCTGGCAAAACGGAAAATAGTAATCTCGTTTTCCCCCTCGTGCAGAGCAAACTGTCAAGCTTTGCGATCCCATCAACCAAAGGGTACTTGAAAATTCCGAATCGGAATAAAACAATGCATGTTTCAGGGACAAGAGCAGTGAAGATGCGAAAAAAAAGAAAAAAGACAAATCGAAGGAGACCAAACCAAAGGGTGAGTGAGCTGGGCCCCCGAGTTTCCAAACCCCGATCTAGATGAAACGAAGACCAAAGGACCTGATATAAATAAGAAGGAAAGTAAGAAAGACAAAATCAAGGCAGAAAAAGAACCAGCAAAGAAAGGCGGAGGTGATGGAGACATTGATACTGAAGCGAAAGAGACACCAGCAAACGCCACTGTCACCCCATCCGCGGCACTGGGCAAAAGTGGAACGATAAAAACATTAAAAACGGAGAAAGAATCGTCCAAAAAGTCGGACAATGTCAAGAAGGATCAAAAATCGAAAAGTAATCTGGGTATAATGCTAACTCGAATTTTTAAACAGTTTCAAGTTTATCAAGTAAAAAGGACAAGAGTGAAAAAACAAAAAAGCTGACTGACTCAAGTAGTTCGCACAATGTGGATTGCTCTGATCCGATATCTGTTTCAGCCGCCAACGTTCGAGATGAGGATGAAAAACGTGGGAAACGAGTAAAAACGTTTCCCGATGAATCTGCTCCGTCCAAGTCGGGCAAGGGAAAAAAAGACAAAACATCAAAATCGGTATCTCAAGGTAAATCACCAGGGAAAGTTCGTTTTACAAATGAGGAAATAAGCTGTGAACTGGAGTAGGGTGATTTTTTGTTGCTTGAAGTGTTTGGGAACACAAAAGCTTGTATTAAGACGATGAAAAATGGCCAGAAGATAAACTAGTGGATTTTTCAACTTGAGGATGCAGCTTTTTTTAACAGAAACGTGTGGAACCGTTCACCTAGTTTAATCAACTTCAGAGTTTAGGTGAGTTTTTGCTCCAACAAAAAATTTATGTTTCTGGAGATGCCGTTTACTGATTTGATTTCACCGCAGCGGCTGATTAGCTTCGTTGTAGTGCAGTCAGTAAGCCGAACTTTGTCAGTAGCTCTCAGGTTACCGAACTGCACAAACTGAAGACGATTGTGCATGGCGGATAGGGAAAGGACCTGCTTTGATGAGTGGTCAAAACACAGTTCAGCGAAACTAAATTCAAGCACACACATCTTCTAGCGGTCACACCATTGTTATCCGTTCACTGTTCGATACCTCAATATGATTAACCAACCGGCAACGGACTTATTTGAACACTAAATCAGACGCTCTCCGTTTCATGTTCTTCTTCTTGGTTTGTTAGGCATTGGGACAGGTTCCGTTTAGGTCTGATCACAGCTGAGAACCACAACTCTAGCATGCTGGTCCTCTTGCCGTTTTACAGACTTGGTATTGTTAATCCACTTTTGCCCGAGTGCAGAGACATTTAACATTAGAAAAATTCCGACGAATAATATCGCTCACACATAAACTGAAAGTTTCACAACTGTAAAGCAGGACGACCGATCATACTGTGATACAGTACGATTGACCATTTACAGTTGATGAAACTTGACTATAATGGCAGCAATGCTTCATGCCAGTGTGCATCACTCGAGATTTGGATGTGCATGCCCACTTTCTTCACTTTGTAATCGTTACTTATCACACCGTGATCAATGCGAGAAAAACAATCGACCAACATAAGTTTCGAATCAGTGACCTTCACTCCTGGTGAATAGGTTTAGTTTGCATATAACTCGTAATCGTAATCAAGCGATCAATAGAAAGTGATCAATTCTGAGCCCACCCCCAGTGTTTGTCCTAATCTAAAGCTATAAAAATCTAGTTAAATAAGCACGGTCTTTTCCTATTACCAGAAAATGCAATACAGAAAAGTGAACATACCCCGGGCAAATCAGGAAAACAATCTGCAGGTAACCTATTACAATGCATCATCAATTTCAATCGCAATATTCAGGAAGGCAAGAAAAACCATCCTCGGAAACAACTGAAGGTGAGTTAGTGGGTTCAGATGCAGTCGACCAATAATCTTAGTTTCCGATCTTCCGTCTGATTTGGATGGTCAAAACACTTTTCGTACCGAGACCGATTTGGTCACTGAAGATGTAGTAAGCGATTTGGAAGAAGAGGAACAATCCTTTGTTGCCGATCATCACGTGAATGTGCAAGCTGAACTAGTCAGAGCACAGGAGAAACCGGGACCGGGTATTTTAAAGAAAACAACACCATCGAATGAGCCGGACAGGAAAAAGTCGGACATGGAGGAATCGAAACCAACTGTAACTGAAAGCAAACCAAGAGAAGTAAGTTATGTCAATTAGATTCGGTTCCGAAGTACACCCATTTGCGTACAGCTGTTTGTATCAATTCGAGGTTGGGCTGGAGAAGAAGCGGACGACTTATCGTTTCCGCCCGGCTGTGTATTGACAGTGTTGCAGAGGAAGTAAGTTGAGCGTAAGTTCACTCAATATTCACGTCAGTGAGGATGGATGGTGGCTTGCAAAAGATGCTTCTGGGAAAAGTGGTTTAGTTCCGATGAATTTTCTCAAGGTGAGAGATAAATTGTGAACGAATTTTAATTCCTTGCAAACAGCCTATGGATGAAAAAAATGGTGAAAAATCATCTGAGAGAATCGGTAAATTGATGTATCCATGCATGTGAATTAGGTATATTCAATTCCCCCCTTTGAAAGTAGATCGGCGTAACAAAGTACAAAAAGCGTTTGCGGATTATTTCCAAATGGAAGACGAGGAGGAATCCAAAGAACGCTTGGATGACAAAAAAGCTACCGATGATAATAGACAGGTAGTGTTCTTTCCTTTGATTAAAAGGTCATTACGTCTTTTTGCCTAGAAAGTAAACACTGAAGATGAGGCTAAAAAGACTACTGACCGAAAAGGTGAGTTATTTTCTGCAAAAAAGCCGCAAGGAGTCAAAGATTTTATTCCCTAAAGTTAAGGTTGTTGGCATTTGGAACAGCGGTTAATCTGCTTTGTCTTTGGGTAATAGTTTGACTCGACGTTGCAGGCACCATGCATTTGCATTTCCCTACGTGAATTTTGTTACAAACGCTATTCATGAGAACACAGGTTCAGAGGCGAACAAATGTTGTCACTGATTCATTTAAGGGAATGACATTAAATGAGAATAGACATTCAATCATTGAAAAATCACGGTGATTGACTGGGTGGGAGAGTAATGTGGGGCGAGTGATGCAATGTTTCACCTCACTTGATCACAATACTGCATTCAGGTTATGATTCTTCATCCCTGCGATCGATATTCGGCTATTCCAAACATTTAGCGATTTTAACCTGACGGACTATCCCATAAACTTCATCATGTTCCGGCAAAGTCATCCAGTGATTTATTGTACCATACGGTCAGAAAGCACCAGAGCCTCGATTTTGGCTCCCAATAGAACTTAACACTCCTCATCTACCGGTGCATAAGGAACTGGAACTCACACACCCCCTCGTGCGTGTTTCTGCTTTCCTAACTTGCTCACATTGGAGCTGACTATAATCATCAGTTCAGACATTGTCTTCACTGATAGTTCACTGGTTTATTTGGCCCAATAGCATGAAACGAAGACCCAGTAAACGCTGATAAATCCCAAGGGAAACCTAATAAATCAGCTTTTCCTTACCGGTTTTTGTGTAGTTCCGAGAAAAGCCTGCTGATCTAGGCTTTCATTATATTTTTAATTCAGAGCTACTTGTGGTTAGTGGTATGAAGTAATAGTTCTGCTTTATTATGCTGCTTCAGCCTAATGGTCAGGTCATTTATTCAATAGCTGTTGAAAAATACTAAACAAATTAACAGAAGAATAACTGGATGCTTGCCTAAAAATTATTTCATTTTCCTAGGAGGACATTGTTCTAAAATAACTGGTGGTAATAGTTATCCTGTTGAAACTACGACTGATTTTTGCTGAGCCGGACAGTGTAACCATGAATTATATCATGCAGAATGACTCTCCACTGCCAATTTTGTTGTGAATGTATGTAGGTGAAAAAACAGACATGGATGGAAAGGAGAGAAGCTGTATTTTCATGCATGAGCTATTCGCCTAGACTGACGTTCCTAATTCAATTCATATTTCCCATGGTTGATGAACACCCTCTACAAGAATTTGTGTAGTTGCAAGAGAACCAGGGACGGGTGGAGATGATTATACACTACAAAATAATCATAATTAGTCGATCACCCTTCTCCGACTATTTCAAAAGAAAAGCAGTTTTTTTACCAAAACGCAGCTTTTGAGATGGTAACATTTCACCAATTTTGCTTTGCTTTATTAGAAATCTATTGAGAGACTCGCAATCCTTCAAAAATTCAGTTTGCGCAGTCCAAATAAAATCGGATGAAACGCGGGGTTCTTTCTTTTTCTTTTTAAACTGGCACCCAGCACTGAAGTTTTTGAAAATCGTCATGTTTGAGCAACAGGCACCCGGCAGGTTCTCACTCTCAGTGGTTATACACTTATTCGGTGGTAAGATTCATCCCTTTTGTATCCCGATGATTACTCGGTCCATATTTGTCAAGTTATCCTCGATTCTTTTCACCGCACAACAGAACGTGAACGCATCACTCGGGAAGCATTTACCGAGGTATTTCAGCTCGAAGATGCTGAACCGGAGATTTCATTCAAGCAACCGCTTCCAGCAAAAACTGTAGCCAAAGCTCCCACTCGAAAGCCGGAGGATTCGGATACCACCGATATGGTTGGTTCTATGTACGATGAGGACACGTTCACATTGGATGACTTGGTCGAGGATAACCTGACAGAGACAAAGGGGATCAAACAGAACGCAGCACCAAGACAACCTGCAGAGGAGAAGAATGAGGGCGTGATCGAAGCGGGCCGAGCAGTTTCGGTCAAGGAGAGAGTCAGTCAGTGGGAAAAAATTACCACGGGGAAACCGGAGAAGCGCGCGTCACAGAAAGCTCAGAATTCAGTTAAATTTAAGCCTCAAGGAGGTGTCAGTAATGAACCGTCGAAGGGGGACGATGAAGAGCAGGAAGAGGATGACAACGATAAAGTAGATGATGACGATGATGATGACATGTTAGGTAACGAAGAAGAACTTATGAAAGCACATCCTGAAGATGAATTGACCAATAGAAAAGCACATGCAATGGAAAAAGATGAGGAGACAGATGATGAGGAGACAGATGATGAGGAAATTTCGGAGCTTTCTGAAGAAGAGCTGGAAAATATGGACGACTTCAAAGACCAACCTGTGCACTCTGTTCCACCGAAAAAGTAGGGACTTTTGTTTTATCTGAATCATTGTTTTTGAATAACTCCTTGTTCTACAGAAATGAACTGCTGAATAGCGCGGCCAAATGGCTGTACCAGGTAAGTACTCTGATTGCCCATTATCTTAGTAATGAACTATCAACTTATCAGTATTTTATATATTTGTACACACAATTAACCAAATGGTTTCAAACATGATTAAAGTGGTATTTTGCTCGTCAGAACAATCCTTAACTGAATTACTGTTCCAGGCTATCAGTCACAGAGTGCTAATGCATTTTTCCAACTTGTTCTGCTATTCTGATTGATTCCAAATTTATTTCCCCGAGTGACTATGTAAAATGCGACATGCAACTTGTCGAATGGGTGATTCATTCTGCAGTGTAAAGGCGTCATATCCGTCATTTAAAAACATTGGAGGCACTGAGTCCAGCGGTTTCATCTGGTTTGTGGGGAATCTCCAGTAAAGCACTTCTAAGGAGATGTTGGCAGCTCTGTCGTGCAGGACTGTTATTCTCGCCCGCGACCACTGGGCTGCTGGGGCTAAATCCACTTATATTTATATGTTTTACAAATGGATTCCGTATTTTTACGTTATTAAACCTTTCAGGTAACCATTTAAGCTAAAAGACAACAACTTTGGAATTTAGTGTAAAATATTTGTCAGAGTACTTCAATATATTTTTAAATTTAACACTTCCTGCTACGTCGGGGACAGTATATTACGGAGTGCACCTAAGGACCTGTAGAGCAAGAGGCTTTTTCAGTCGAAAATCTATTAATAATCAATGCGGGACATTCTCACGTCCACGATAGATTTCTATTTACTACGCGCCGTACGCGAGTAAATTGGCCTTTTGAAAGAGAGAGAGTAGAAGTCTCCTATTCCAAAGACTTGTCGCTGTCATTCGTAAGATGTCATCCACATATTAACAGGACACTAAATAGATACCGGATCATCTTAAATTGAAAAGGTTGCTTCACGGCCGCCATTTCAGTCAAGCGTCGAGTTGCATAAATGGATTATTCAACTTAAGTTGACAGTCTAGTTCATCCGAAGATTTCTCTTTCATTGAAAAAATCTACTGCGCAGAATAAACACTGATTACAGCACTGATAAAATTCCGTGTGGACCGTGTGTGTATAGGGTGGTGGTGGTGCAGTGGTTCAGTGGCTGTCACCAGCGCTTTTTGGACCCTTTGGTTCGAGGTTCGAGCATCGACACCGCTACCCAACTTTGGTGGTAAGTAGCTTTGCTGTCATCCGATTCGTTACCACACACCTGACCTAGCGGGGCCATGCGGTTCGCCACCCCAAGTCCCGGGGCTTATGTTACCGGTTTCCATTTCTAAACAGTAGGTCTTCGTAACTACGGGGTACACTGCGTGTGCTGTTCATCACAAAATTGCACACTAAAATCTCAACAACGCAGTGTTCGACACTGAATGTTATTCACAATATAACTTAGAACAAAACTAAAGACGTAGGGATATAGCAAACAAGACTATATGGAGAGATTAGGCAGCACAATTATCCCTTGCTTTCTGAGATGAAGTGCATATTACCGTTTAGGTAGCTGGATGAAATTAATGAAGGGCTAGCAAAAAGAATCAACGACATCAGTAATCGTGTCAGTGGGTTGTTTGGAAACATGTATGCATACAGCTGCTCTTTATTCACCTGGGTGGTTCCCTCGTTCCGTGTCCACCACAAACACCGATCAGTTCTTCGCACCCGGACGCACACATACAATGAGCTTGGCGGTGCTCATTCGGTTTGTTTTACTTTCTTTTGTCGTCAATATAGGATGGTGGTGATCACGCCGAAGCTGCCCGGAATTTTCGACCTGATCACACTTTGATCGTACAAATCTATCCCTGATTGACTTTGTTGTTAGAACAGTGGACCGGAACTAAGTTGAAATCCAACAAAATTCGCACTTTTCATATCGGCCTGTTTGATGTGAACATTCAGAGCTGGAAGGAGAAAAAAGCAGTTCGAAATATTCCGAAATTCAATTATAGTAAAAACTGGAACGTCAATGAATGTACCTGCTATCTATCGTGCACACTCACTCCTATCTTTCTCTCTTTGGTTTCATTGTTTTTGATATTTAAAGTCTATCATTCTTCGTCCTTGTCCAATTTGAAATGTATTGAGCGTCTTTTAAACAAAGTCATATTTTCAATTTCCCTTTATCTCATAAAACAGAGCAATGCGAAGCTTTTAAAATCGTTGGAGCCATTGCCGCAAGGTGCTCGAATCAGTACGTTGGCTTCCTTGGGTAAGTATAGACTTGATTGAAATGAATGAATAGTCGAAGGAAGGAATAAGTGAATAAATCAACCAATCAATCAGTCTTCAATCACGTTTTTAGTTTATACATGCACTGACTCCGTGATTTCTGTTCTATTTCAGATTGGACAAAGTACAGTTATCAGACTTTTCTTGTGCCACGTCTGGGTAGTTCTCATCTCATGCTGGTCGATCTGGTCTATGATGCGGGTGAACGAAAGGTGAAAACCTAGCCTCTCCCGGAATTAAACTCATCGGCTCGTTTGATTTGTGGGACTGCCTGATTGGATAGCATTGTAGTAAATGTTCTTTCAGATAAGCATTGATTGACTAAAAATATTTGAGTGTCAATTAAACAAAGCGTTTTCCTCCTGAAATACTGGCTTAAAATACGATAGGAGATTTGAGTTAGAAATGATAAGATAGTATATACAAAATTACATCATATTGCAAAAGATAACAGTGCGATCAATAAACTTCAAACGCCTTTCAGAAATCTTAAAATCAATTCGCCGAAAATTAGTTAAGTGCAACTCACGTGATTTCATTGAGTTCATTAGTAATGGAGTGGAATATAATGAATGATCAGGCGTTCTTTCAGGATAAAGTATCACACTATACTAATGCCCCATTAACTAAATCAACAGGTTTCATCAATGAAGGCATCGAGCATCATCCTATCACCATACTAGTAGATCTGCCGCTTATCGAGCTGAATGAGCTGCTCCTAAAATGTGAATCTGATGTCGAAGGGTTTTTCCACTATCGTAGAGTTCAATCCATGGTTATATTCATCAATTGGCAAGATGGATATTGGGGAGTGAAATCAGTCACAGGATCTTTTACATATGCTAGATATGCTCTATCTCAGATCCCATGGGCGTTCGCAGAGGAGGCTGCTTTGGAGGATAAAAAAGAACTAACCATGATGATTGCGGTTAGGCAAGGCTGGCACCATAAAATGCCATCCAGCTGACAGATAATGCATCTAGTGAGGACAGAACGGACCCTTCGCTTTGTCTATCAAGCTGGTCATTGCAGAGGCGATAGGTGGCCGTCTCGCAAGAAAGCATTTAAATCATCACGCACTACAAATATGATGGGGTGAACGCATCATCCGTTTAATGCTTTCTCTCCCCACAACTCTCTGCCATCTGAGCTTGACTAGTTAAATGTTAATGATTCGGTACATCCTGGCACACCCACTCGCCACAGATGTCCTCCCCACTCTCAAACACATACACAAGGAAACACTTATGACTTTTTTATCGAGTGTGAAGAAACCGTGAAACATTTCAGGCATCTATGTGATTTATACGGGGTTTGATTATTGTTATGCATCAGTGAAACAAATGTTCGTTTTTCGAATGCATGTCGTAGTGGATAGTTTTGGATTTCAAAATGTGAATGTCACCCGTTTGTCGTGTCATTCCAATCTAGTAGCACTGTTCACTGAGATTATAAATTGTTTGTCGTTCAACCCCTCAAAGAGACTATTTGTTCGATGGTTTCCAAGACACATTCACCACCCTTGTTTTGTAATCTGCAATTAATTATCCACAGTAAGATTTTTTCCAATTCAGTGTAACCTCTTATTTGTTCACAGGTTGTGCATCGACCTGCTCGAATTCAGCGGATTGTACAAATTCAAAAATGTGTCAATATGTTTCCGATCGATGAAACAAGTTGGTCCATACTTTTTATTTTTTTAACTGTTCATCTCTACCTGAAAAGACTTCAAAATACAAGAACGCGTAGTTCGCATTTGCTTATTCGACGGACAAAAGGTGAGTAAATCAATTTACTCTCGTGATTCACGCCAACCTGTTGAAAGCCACTGAGCAATATCGTTCGCATCCCAATGGTCACAACCGATCGTGATAGAAAACAGTGGCAACCGATGCCTCAGGTGAGCAATGTGCCGTATTTGTGACGGATTGTTCCGCGTTGATTCTGTGCACCAATAGCTTTCAGTCGCATTGAAGAATATTAATCCATCTAGGATGTCGATTGTTCTGCGACAAATCTGTTGATTTTACTTTGCAGTTTTGCTTCCTTGTCGGGAAATATTTTTCAGAATCAAAAAATAAGTGGGCAATAATAACCTTCATGGACCTGCCCATGTCCACCATGGTTAATGACTCTGGTGGCCCTTATCTATTTATCCTCCGAAATCTGAAAATGAATATTCCATAGATGAAGATAAAGAAAGAAAGAAACTGAAATATGTGCTCACGGCTGATCGGATCAAGTAAAAATAATAATAATAATAATAATAATAATATCAATAGTTACAACATTTTACTTTGTTATTAAGTACGCATTGGAACAACACAATTTTTATAAAGAGAGCTGACCGAGACCTGTCCCGATTATGTTAGGAAAATTTACCTTTCAAGTATTCAGTGTATTGTTTCTGAAATCAGTAAAAATCACTGTGAATTAGCTTTCTTCGTGACAGTTATTCTCACCCGTGACTACAGGTTGTATTGATCGGGATTCAAACCCGAACTTAGAAGATTAGGAAATATTCATATATAAGATAATTGTACTATCTGGGTTGCTTCCGGCTTGATAGAGAGAAAATAGTTACTCTTCTATTCGTTGGTAAAGGCTTTCAAACTTCGTAGCACAGTGTAGGTGTGAAAAGATTCTTTTAAATCCTAGACGGT